ACAATGAGGCTAAGAGTGATAGAGGTAATGGAAAGAGAAAGATGTTAAGAAGATGTGGAAAAGAAGGAGAGAAGAGATAAAAATAAAGTTCTTCTCATTATGCTTCTATGGGGACAGCTGGAACAAAGCTAACGCCCAAATTACAGGAACACTCAGATATATATTCCGCACCTTCCGAACTCTATATACTATTCACTTTGGCTATCTTAATTGCTCTCCAAGGCAACTACACAACGTAAAAAACAGGTGAAGGAGACAGTCAACTTTACCAATATTGCATTTGTAGAAATTCTATCAACGTTCGGAGACTTCTACATCAGTCAACTAAGTCTGTTGTTACTGTTAACGTAACCAACCGGACCACCTTACCAAAAGCGAAATAATAAGCGGCATAGATTTCTCATTTCTTAAAAAAAATCATTCTTAGCTCTCCTTTCTTTAAACTTCGTGTGTTTCATAGAATAAAGCTGATTAGCTATGGTATTTAGGGTTTTCTCTATTTAAAGATTCCCATGAACAATTTGTGGATTAAACATACTAAATTCCATGCATAGTATTAACATGGTGCTTTAAAACATCCATACATGTGTACATGCACGAGGTTGTGACGAAAATAAAATTGCTGCTAGCACAGCTGAAGGACACAAGAGTAGTTTCCCTTTAACTGTCCGAAAAGATGCGTTGCATTTTCTCAGTCCAATAATTTTTTTTTTCTGCAATTAAATAGTCCGTGACGTAGCAATTATGTATGTTTGTATGCTTAAGTATAAACTCGAATTCCATTGTTATTTTTTTTATTTTTTTGTTTTTACTATACTTATCCCCAGACACCCCCCTCCTGCCTTCTTCCCCACCAGAGCATCGCCCTGGTCCCTCTCTTGAAAGCATACACTCCTACAAAAGAAAAAATGTGCCACTGGTTGTGCCAGATTTGTTGTTTTTCTCATTTTTTGTGTATGGTTTTAAATTGCACAATGAAAACAATTTTAATATATGGTAAGGTATTTTAAACATACAGTTTTTGCTGCGAAATATAAGGCGTTACAATACTGTGTAAGATATTGTCAAATTCCTCTCTAACTCAACAATCGAATACAAGATAAACCTAAGTCACTTTCACGTTTGACGTGCAGCTCTTTTCTTAAATCTGGAATATCATCTTTGGTTACGAGATTGTAGATTTATCTACGGCAGGTTTAGGTCATACTTACAGAAATTCTTTAATACCATTGATTCATTGACAAGAAAATGAAATTTCTAAAGAAGGCTGTGAAAATGTTGTCTATTGTATGAATACGTACAAAGATCGTTCTTTACTTCTCGTTGTCGTAGCTTGCATGTGTAGGTACATTTAAACGTTTTGTTTCGTTCTGTTCCGTAAACACTATGCTTTCTTTGATCACGGAACACTGGCTGTCCGATAATAATCTACCAGCTGAAATATCGTTAAATACTAGCGTTATTGGATTAGAATTGGACAATAGCTTTATTTAAACCGCGGAATAACAGGTGAACTATACAGCTGTACTGTAACCCTCATACCTAGGTACCTAACAAGGGTAGAAAAAACCACATTACCGAGATATAAGTAGACATTCAGATACAATTTCTAAAATTTGAAACGCATGCTTTTGATAAGTTTATTGAATGTTAACATTATATCCATATACAATTAGTATTTATATAAATATTTACTATGTTTTTTTTATCCCACTGCCCAAGTTCCCCGGGATATACATTTAGGTACATATATAATCACTGTCGTACGACTAGGATTAACCTACTCCATATAGAATAAATCTCTAGTAAATCCTTTATATAGGTATATCAAAAATGTTATTGTTATGAATAGAAATATTGTATTCGTCCGGTCATAATCACAAATTAGGCTCATTTCACCGAGCAGGATAGAAAATTGTATTCATCCATGGGTCAGTAATGTCCTTTCTGGAAACTACTTGCTCCAGGGAGTCTGGAACGAGATAGACTATGTGAAGTGTAGATCATCATTGCAGGTAGGTTCTACAGGACTTTTAATTCGTCTTGTATTATGCAAATTGTACATAAAAATGTAAAGTGTATAGACTAGTAATGTCCATTGCCTAGTACATGCGAGTACATATAAGCGGACAGGAGTGGTACGCGATGTACGTACACATGTACATAATAACCCGGTAAAGCCAACTGACTGGTGTACGGGTGTGGTACACGATGTACACATATAGTGTGGTAAGGTCCACTATCTAGTACATTTTAGTGTACGGAAGAGGTACACATCGTACACATATGGTGTGGTAAGGTCCACTATCTAGTACTAGTGTGTGTTTTAGTGTCTGGAAGAGGTACATATCATACACAGATGGTGTGGTAAGGTCCACTATCTAGTACTAGTGTGTGTTTTAGTGTCTGGAAGAGGTACATATCGTACACAGATGGTGTGGTAAGGTCCACTATCTATTACTAGTGTGTGTTTTAGTGTATGGAAGAGGTACATATCATACACAGATGGTGTGGTAAGGTCCACTATCTATTACTAGTGTGTGTTTTAGTGTATGGAAGAGGTACATATCGTACACAGATGGTGTGGTAAGGTCCACTATCTAGTACTAGTGTGTGTTTTAGTGTATGGAAGAGGTACATATCGTACACAGATGGTGTGGTAAGGTCCACTATTTATTACTAGTGTGTATGTTTCAGTGTACGGAAGAAGAACACGATGTACACATATGGTGTGGTAAGGTCCACTATTTATTACTAGTGTGTATGTTTCAGTGTACGGAAGAAGAACACGATGTACACATATGGTGTGGTAAGGTCCACTATTTATTACTAGTGTGTATGTTTCAGTGTACTGAAGAAGAACGCGATGTACACATAGTGTGTATTTATTACTAGTGTGTATGTTTCAGTGTACGGAAGAAGAACACGATGTACACATATGTACACATATGGTGTGGTAAGGTCCACTATTTATTACTAGTGTGTATGTTTCAGTGTACTGAAGAAGAACGCGATGTACACATATGGTGTGGTAAGGTCCACTATTTATTACTAGTGTGTATGTTTCAGTGTACGGAAGAAGAACACGATGTACACATATGGTGTGGTAAGGTCCACTATTTATTACTAGTGTGTATGTTTCAGTGTACGGAAGAAGAACACGATGTACACATATGGTGTGGTAAGGTCCACTATTTATTACTAGTGTTTATGTTTCAGTGTACGGAAGAAGAACACGATGTACACATATGGTGTGGTAAGGTCCACTATCTAGAACTAGTGTATGTTTTAGTGTATGGAAGAAGAACACGATGTACACATATGGTGTGGTAAGGTCCACTATCTAGAACTAGTGTATGTTTCAGTGTACGGAAGAAGAACACGATGTACACATATGGTGTGGTAAGGTCCACTATTTATTACTAGTGTGTGTTTTAGTGTACGAGAGGTACACGATGTACACATATGGCCTTATAGCATGGAAAATTCTCCTGTTTAGTAATGTTAGTTTACATGAGAGGTACATGGTGTATGTATATCGCCTGATAAGTCGACCCAAGTACTACAAAGACAGAAATCTGTTATAGTAATGTTTCTTTACACAATACTAAGAAACTGAAAAAGATCGGTGTGAGACATCAATTAAATATTGCCCGCTTCTCCCATATACAGTACATATACGTATGACTGGGATTTAATCAAAATATTACAGGATGTTCAGAAGATAAAATGTACGTCGGCTATCTGATCATAGGAATGCGGACCTGCGGTCAGTTGAGTTTATCAGGGAATTCGTTAATTATATGATCTATCAGACATGGCCGGTTGTGTATGGGGTCACACCCCTCGACTATTGGGAAATCAAGCAATGTTGACCCGTCTAGTCATTGTAACAGGTATGCTGGTTAGGTCTATGACGCATCAACTGTACCTTTAAGTACAGTGTACATACATGCATCTTACCGATGTCAGTATGATAGCAGGTGATCAGTTTAAAAAATGATTTTATTTGTATGCCGAATGACGTCTTATGATGACCCAGACTCGCCCAACATTAAAATTGAAAAACTGATAAGGAAACCTTTGCCATCAATGTGAAAGATGGTGAGGTTTTTTTATGTTTATCGTTTTTCTAAATGTAATCATAGATAGGAATTATTTATGCTTTCAAAGGGAATGTGTGAAATGTAAGTTATTGTGAATTTTTGGTTTACAAGATATTGTCAAGGTCACACCTGCGCTTAACGATACTATCCCAAAATCCTTCGTCCTTCCATCACTTCAAGGTTCTGGACACACATATACAAATCCTCAATATGTGGGTTACACAGAAATCGGTCAACTTCTGACTTTATTATTCTTGTTTATTTGATGTCACGTTTGAGTCAAATCGCTCTTTCCTTGTTTGTGGTTTCCTCCGATTTAGACAAACATTCTAAAGACGGAGACATATAATGTCATTGACCGTGGCTATTATCAACGGATGTGTTAGCTTATACAGTGTAATTAATGCTGAATTAATAGCATTTTAACGCTTGACCATAGATTCGTTTGCGTCATCTCCTCATTACATACGTCTTTACTGTAAAGGAAGTGCGAGTAGAACTCTCCGACTTTCTGTAAATAAATCACAATGATCCTTGTAATCTATTGATTTTGATAAAACGACTTTGACAACAGGCACTTGTCCTGATGGTGTTAAGCTATACAGAGATTGCTGTTGCACAGTTTCAACATATAGTCATGTTTGTCATGAAGTGTCATTCTTTGATACATTTATGCTGTATTACCAAAACTGATTTCGTTATTTTCATTATAGAAATTCCAAAACTTTGCATGTTCCCTATGATAACCAGTGACGAGAACTTTTACGTGATTTCCGCGTGACCCATTGTTTCTCAGTCTGGCGTAAGACATTATAACCGTACATTGATGTGTTTATGAAGTTAAAGATTTGTCCAGTGATCACTTCCGGTATTTTGTTCTCTACAGTGACAACCATGGACATCCTCCGGGCACGTCGGCAACAGTTAATGAAGCCGAAAGAGTTCTCAGCAGCAACTCGAAAACCAGCCCAGTATTATAAAGATACGACGTCTGACCTCCAATCCCTCCCTGAGACGACCTTCACAAGGCCCGGACGTACGAGAAGTCTTACAGCTGGTCGGGAAAGAAATAACACAGCATTTATAAAAACGAATCTCACGAGAATCGGACGGTCGTTGGAACATTTACAAACAAATTTTGAAGAAGAACAATCAGAGATCTCCCGAGAATTTGAGAAGAAACTTTCCCAAGTGAGTACGTCCATCGGTGCCAGCATCAATGACATCAGAGACCGACTTACTGCGCTGACGTCATTACTAGGAAGGAATGACGTCAGTCAGGACTCTGGTCTCACTGGATCTATATCAAAAAGTGAAAATAGCCTCGACCAAACAGAAGACGGGAGTTTGCCTTTCCAATCAGTATCTTTTAGTCCGCAAACCCCGTTAAGCCCGAGCCTTACATCGGAGAGCTTGGATCTGGTCAATATTCGTTCACTTCCAGAGAATAATAGAGTGTTCAATCCCTCAACGTCTAATACGCGATCCACTAGTCTTGATCTTGTAAACGCTTGTTGCTATCAGTCTACTAAGAAACATCCCTCAAACGTTCTTGCTAGCGTTAAATCCAGTGACAGTGGACTTGGCAGTTCGGAATATAAATACTCTGACCGAAGTGATAGTTCTAGTACCACATACCGGACGATTGGCGGACTCGATTATCCGTACGGAAAGCGGAGACAATGGCGTCCGATGAGATCCAACAATTACCTGGAACTAATGAAAAGAGGGTATTGTAACTGGGTTCCAAAATATATGACAAACAACATGTATAGTTGCAGTAGTGGTGACGTAACTAACGTGAACGTATCTGGTGACCTACAGAATAATCCTAGAAAAGATATTGGTTACCAAACACGAAAGGACACTGACGTTGATAGTGCAATAAAATCAAGCAATGTGGCTCCAACAAACTGTGACGCTTACGAAAAAGAAAACGATGAAGGAAGCACAAGCACAGATCATGGTGACGTAATGATTTCGCATATATCTGACGAACTGAATTCTGGGACGGCAATGGAATGGCGCTCACATAACCGTTATGATCCGACAGATTACACGGAATTGTCTGCTCTAAAGGTAGACCCCCCAGCCACACGGTACCCGCCATGGCTGTTTCCAGATTTCTACAGTAATCGAAATAATGAGGACGAGTACCCGGATGTATTTGAAGATGAAAATAGAACATGCAAATCAGGAGCATCCTATAAAAACTTAGGAGAACCCGCTAGTGAGCCTCGTGAACAGTGGCAGTGGGGCGTTGCCCGAACATTGTGGCAGGGCTGGTCGCTACCCGGTCTGAACGTGGAAGTGGAAAGACAGCTAGTCAGTAAACTTCAAGGTGAGTAAAAGTACTTAAAATTCAGATAAAGGGACTAAAGGATTAGATTTTCATTTCAAAACTAATAAAAAGCATTATAACATTTAAATATCTGTTAAAGTTGTTCACTTTCTGTTAATCATAATATTTTAAAGTTTGCATAACCATTTCATTAAAAGCGTCAAATATTGAAATAAGATAGTAGCGACCCAAGACTAATTTATATCATTATCGTTCGGAGAGTGAAAACGATGTCTTTGCGCATGCATATTAGAAATCATAACAAAATGGCGGATTAAAACGAGGTTCCGAAAGCTCACCTGATGACTCGGCTATCTCCGATTACAACAGTAATCAGCGGTAGACACAACATCTAGTGTCGACTAGCGTTAATTTGAAGCTGATAATATTTACGAATTTTTCTCAGAAAATGCTTTTATTTTAAGTATAACAACGCATGTCCGAAATCAAACGCATGGAAAACAATAAGGAAATCTAATCGTTTAGTCCCTTTAAGGCTGTCAAATATTGAAGTTCAATGTGTTATAAGTCTCTGTTTACCATATTTCATCTCATTTTACAATATTATCAAAACCAATATGAATATAACAATTTTCGAATCAGACCATTATTTTTTTGTAATGATCGATCTAATGATCTGTTTGCAATTTTACCATGGTTTCCTTAAAATCAAGTGATCACTCCAACGACCCTTGCTGTCTAGTCAACTGGTTCCAGCTTCATCATTCTCCATAAATACATTAAACTCAATCATCGTGAAATCGGTGTCAGGATATTCAAGAAAAGAAATAAGTCGAAGGCAAACATATCGCAGATATGTGGATAAATTCGTGGTCCTGAACACTTCGTACGAAGGACAAACAATACAAGCGAGAAACGCTTGCCAAATGACGCCAATAATAATCAATTAAGTTTCTATCGTGAGGCAAAATCACGCTCTATTAACATTTTAAAGAAAAAGAACACACTAAATATATATATATATGATCAAAAGTTTAAATATGATATTTTGAAGTATTCGGTAACACTATTTCAAAACTGTTCGTGCTTTAAACATCGAATGTTGTTATGCATGTACATGTACTTGTAGATTACTTTGAACATCAATTTAATGGTCTTTGTGAACACACCTTCAGCATCCTATCAAAAAGATTTTTAAAACAAGCTTGTCTTCTTATCAAACAAAATTTGCATGATATAACATCAATTAACATATTCACTGTATATTTATCTGTTTTATTTGTTATTTTTGTCCTTAAAATACCCGCGTTAAAACGTTACGCGTTAACTACGTATTTTGATTGTATGATATAATTAACTATACTTAGAGAGTACAAGTTCATGTATAAACTGGTCCCGTTCAATATTTGATAAGAAGGTTGTTGTGAAAAAATTCCCTGTGTACAAATTGAGCCTTTTTAGGGTTTGCGTTGTACTGTTTGTGAATAAGAAATCGTAAACTTCGAACTTAGAAAATATGCAGATAAAAACACAATCAAATGACTAGCTTTCACGAGCGGTCAAGTCTTACAATAAGTCAATATTAATCACAGATTAGCTATGATATTAATTAGAGTGGTTGTTTAATCTCCTATGTTTCCTGTCTTAGTGATAACAATATGTGTTTTAAGACACATTTCTATATCAAATACGTTGTCAATAGTATTGGAATCAATACACATTACTTATCCTGTATGTACTTAATATCGCCGGGTACTTGGAAAAACGTACTGTAAAACTCCATATTTTTCTCAAGTACCCACTTCATGATGTTATTGGTTAATAATGCAAGGTATAAACCTGTGTTCCATAGCCTTTATAAGTTATCTAACATAAAATCTAGATTCATTACAATAACCTATATAGACACATTGCAGGTTTACCCCCACCCCCCACCGAATCCACCCCAACCCACGTCACCCCATCCCCTTCATTCTTTTACCCAGAATAGTGATTATGAATAAAACTTGAATTCTTGAATTCTTACCCGTAAAAAAACGGACGGATGCCATAATTACCACGGCAATATATGAAAAATGTATCAAAAATTATACGATGTACGTGACTAATGGTAAGACGGTTAAGGAACCAACTTACCTGTGTTGATTACAGTTAATAATAATATCACGAGAGGGATAAATACTAAGAAGGAAAAATCGAGATTTCAAGATGAAATGATGAGAAGTTTGGAGAAAGTGTAAAACAAGAATATGTACTGAGGTAATTATGCAAGAGTGTTATAATTGTAAATATGCGATTTGTTGCAGTTTAGTTCAACACACTTCAATTACGGTTACGAAATAATTCTTACGTATTTGAAGTAGATTCTGGCAGAATTTTAGGGATCGGCCGGAAAATCTCGAAGTCAAAAGAAATTTCATGACAGATGTCGGGTAAGTTTTTAATATCAAGCTTTAGGTAACGTCAAAGGATCTGGTAAGTAGTAGGAGATAAGTAATGGGAGAGATATATTTCGTAAAAAAGATTAACATAAAGATACAGCGACTAATTGCAGTGAACACAATATAACGACGCTCTCACCGAGATTCCTTCACAGACAAGATGCTAAAAACTTGTTTTTTGCATGTGTTTGAATAAATACATCTGGTGATTTTAAGTTGATTTGATGTAGAAGAATGCAGAGCGTTTTTTGCGGTAACTGTAGTTCTATGAGATTTGGAAGCTTGTGGAATACAGTCGGTTTTAATTAGCGAAACTAACAACTGCAGTTAATTGCTGATTACTTAGGCACAAAGCTGGGCGGTGCTTTAAATACTATTACAGATCACCATTGTGTGGATTTTTTTTCAAGTATGTTAATATGTCCATCAACAACAACGTGCAATGGTTTGGTGAGAATATCCTCTTGAAAATGGCTGCTGCTAGTGGAGACTTCAGGTTTGGCAAGTCTTCCTAATCAGTTCTAACTAAGAAATGTATTTGTTTACTCATTGTTTCACAAGACTTATTGATGTACTGCACATACAATCAACCTTTGATATATTCGAGCTACCTTCCATACATCTGAAGAGCATTGGGATAAGTTTTAAAGGACTATATTCCCTCTCTTCGTCACAATGGTTGACGAGAGGACAATAACCCATGGCGTCCTCAGACTGATAAACACCTTAACGTAAAGTTCGCCCTATCAACATCATGCACGAGACACATACCTAGATATATATTTGACTGACATAGTGGACAGGTATGAACAATGAAAGGAAATGACAAGGGGTTTTTAATAACCATATTAGCATAACTCTATGTTATGGAGGAAATACTGGCAATTGGAACTGTTACGGGAGATATTTATATCTGCGACAAAGTAATTCGTTGTTGTACGCTTGTGCTGAAGCCTAAGACACGATGAGGTAGCCGGTTAACGCTTTAGGATAATCCGAGATTAAAGCGCTCCACGACACAGGTTTATTGTCTTGATATTACCTTATTTGCAGTAAAGTTCCACGTGCGATACGTAGTTTATGTGGAAAGTACGGTGTATTGGCAGATGATGATCGAAATGTATTTGAGTAGCTTTACGAGAACGGTTTTTACAACGGTTTACGATCAAATGTATATTGGCGATTAAGCTGTGCGCGACCAGGTATTTGTGCCGCATCCACGCACGAAAACGACCGTCTGATGAATATGGCACTATTCAGAATAAAGACTCAGAACCAATCGTAGTTTAATAAACCTTTGAATTATTTCCCATTCATTTCATTGGAATATATTGTCTGTAATCCCGACATTACCGATCAGCGTTCCGCAATTTCATTTTGTTAGGGAGCCGGAATCTCTCTACCAATGGTACAGAGACATTTGTACTTTTTCCCGATGAAAGCTTTGATATTGAATAGTTTGCAGATTAATGCGGAGCCTTACACATTTATCAATTATTTGTTTATTAGGGTATTTTGGTACAACTGCCGGTTACTGAGTGTCGTGTTTCCTATCGCTGAGTGTTCGAGGGAATTATATCTTTTAAAAACTTTAACATGTCTGCAGTAAAACTATAGAGAACGTTTGTCGGCATGGTTTACTCACTTTCGTGTTAAAGTTTCATATTTTTGGGAATTCTTGTGTTGATCTAGTGTTTGGGGAGAATATGAACAAGCAGGACGCAAGTCTCAAGCAGATAAATGATGCATTTCGGTGCATGTATAAAGACTATGATGTCAGTGTTTCAGAGGTAGACGAGTGATCCCATGGGTTCTTACATACCATGTGTTGCGTGTCAACGATCAGTTAGTCAGTTCGGATAAAACCCGACACTTTTGCTGCTGAACACTAACGTGCGTTCATAACGTCATTCAATCCATAAATGGAAAGCTTTATGACTAATCAAATAAATTATGTCATGTTGTTTAAGTATAGAAAACAAACACTTCTATTCAGGTGAAAGTTTATACGTTACAACCCTCTTACAATACTTCACACTCGACACATTTACCATGGCAACGTGCAAACATTCTGATAACGCAGACTCGCTAACATAGTCGCTTCACCGGTGACGCTTGATTCGGTGAGAAAAATCGACAAATTGCTGTAGACAGACAGGCTGAGTACACCTACTAGTTAGCCCCAGTCGTTTACACACTACGGTCCTGGTTCTCATCACTAGACGTAACCTCACTGCCACGACATGCTCTAGGTTAAACTACATGTCGTCTGGATGTTGATGTTGGATTTTACCTTTGAAGGAAACATTGTTGTGTGATTTACAACCATAGACATGCATTGATCTCGATGTTAATTTTGCTTCCACAGATGGACTCTGAAGGTAAGTTGTCAATGCTTTCTAAGATTGTTATTTCATCGTGACCAAACCATGTGGTTTCTATGGTCGTTTGCTTTCATTATCAGCGTTCCTAACTTATCTCATGAAACACTGGACAGTAACGAATCGGTAAAACTAGGTTTCGGATAGACATTAAAACAGAATACAACAAATAAGTAATATTATATCACCCTTCAGAGCTTTGTAGTAGATAATTATG